CATTCAAAGGCAGCTTCCACTTCGCCGCCTCTAAGAGTCGTATTCTAGAACTCTATTCAATGCCCAAGTCAGGATTGCACTGGCAACACAAGCACTGGAAATACGACCCTAATAGCAGGGACTTGAGTATGATTTCTAGTGCTTTGAATCATACTAAGTCCTGACTTAAGCATTGAGTAGAGTTCTAGAATACGACCCTAAATATTGAAATGGCATTCCACCACCGCTGAAGACGGTTCAATCTTTTATACTTTTAACAAAAGTGAAAGGAATGGCTTCTCTTGCAACAGAAGTCGTCATGTTCTTGGTCGGTGGCGGAATCGTCATTTATACCCTTTGTCGTCCTGATTACATTTGTTTTTACTTGATTTGTGTATTATAATCACTCGTAACCAATAAATACATAGTTATATTTAAATTAGATTAATGATGTTTGTTATGGATCCCTCTCAAAATTTGAAAGAGTGGACGCACCCTCTCCGAAAAGATGAAGAAGAAGAAAGGTTCACAGGTTGCATAAACGCGCGTCTCTCTCGATCCAATAATGGTGGCAGGCAAAGGGCGCGAAAATTCAAAAAGGTCACACGCACTGTTAACTACATGTTGACAACATATTGTATAGATTCAGATTAATTTCTCAAATATAATATTACAGTATAAATTGCAATACATGTCAAAGTTTGAGATATTATATTGAAATCGTCAAACAAAACTAAAAATTATAAGATGAAGAATCGGATCGTCGTAAGTTGATAACAAATGCGTATTCAAAAATATGACAATGTCAAATATTGTTTGGTAGACTCGCCATGGACCCCCGTATTCGTTACACGGACCCCAAGGACCACAGGTTAAAAAACGCTGTTGTGAACCTTTTGTTCAAAATTATATTCCGACAATGTCCGACAGAGAACTTTTTCATGACGGCCTCCGTGGTCGAGTGGCATGCACACCGGTTTACATAGTGTCGCCATCTCTGAGGTCCCGTGTTCGATCCCCGTCCGGGTCAGTGAAGAAAACTAACTTTTCTATATAGTCTCGGGTCTGGGCGGTATCATTGCTGTTTCCGATTTCCATAACAGAAGTGCTTTAGGTACTAACTTTGGGATCAGAGCGACGTAGATATATGATGTTGTCTAATATTTATTATTGTTATTTATATCAATCATACCTCATAGTTTATTAGAACGTGTATCGTGTATATTATTTTATATGAATAAAGTCAATTTGAATTTAATTTAACTACATGAAACAATTTCATAGATTTGTAACAGATGGCGCTACGGTTAGAAAGTCGTTGAAAGCAAAAACATAGATCTGGAACTAGCACGTAACGTTTGCTAGTTCCTATAGTGAAGGCGCTAAATTGTAATAATCACGATATTCGTAATTATCATAAACTATCTAGTTGAGTAATTTTACAAAAATAATTGAATATCGTGATTAGTAACAGTACCCAACGGTGGAGGAAAAGACACATAATGAAACCTGTAGCTGCACATCGAAGAGATTTAGAACCTTTGGTGGTTAAAAACATTATATTAAAGAAGGAAGATGGTGGGTTTTGTCAAACACTCGCCTTATACAACACTTTGATACGTAGTGCCTTGGAATATGCATCGCCGGTCTGGAATACACATTATAGAATGAATCGACCTGTTTCAATGTAACTTTACTCATTTTCTGGTATATAAAGACCCCAATTGTCCCCACCGTGCTGAATTGGAACAGACGTGGAATTGCACTGCACTAGATGGTGCATCGAGGTATATCGCCGCCAGAGGCCCTGGCCCTCGTCATATTAAACGTTCCACGTAGAGTGCTTAGGGTCCCCATTGCCAAATCATTTCTTTTATCTAGTGGCCAAACTAATCTCGGAAGATATTGAACAGACTCAAGCAGGTACATTTGAGTGGACAGGGATCAGAGACAGTGGCATGAAAGATCTATCTTTCATGTAGGGAAAACTAAACATGTTATTCGCATGTGCAAGTAATTGTTTCAATCTTAAAACCTTTATAATCAATTGTTGCTGTAATTTCATATTTTTAATTGTTTTTTTCTTATTATTTTAGATTATTCTTTGTATCTCATTGGCTAACTCTAAATATTCAGTGCTGTGTACTAACGACTTAGCACCTTGTGAATTAATAAACATAATATAAAGACTCCAACCCGCCTTGAACGAACGTAAACTAACCTAGCTTCTGCCGCCAAGCAGTAATGTGATCACTTACTGCGTTCCGGTTTTATAGGGTAAGGTTGCTGGTGAAATCGATTCCTCCAACGAACACTACGTTAACTTTATTTTTTAGTCATTTTCTGTTATTTTTGTAAACACAGCCATATTTATTTAAGAATACGTTCCCGGACACGTAAGTCGAGCCACCTTGCATTTTCAGTAGGTATTAATTGGCCTAAGCTATTTTGAAATCGGTCTACTAAACGTCATAACCATGAGTCCTTGTTGATAATTTGAATTTATAAAACCGGGAAAAACTGTTAAAAAAAGAAGACGTCCAAAAATTAAGATGCCGTAGTGTTCATTGGAAACATCGAAATCACAGGAGTACATGGGACTTGTCAAATTATGTATCAGGGTGACGGGCAGTGCGCCTCAGATCTTAGCGTTCTAAAGCTCTGAGTAGCACTGCAACTGTTATAGATAGGCGTGACGCTTACCACCAAACGCACGACCTGTTCGTCCCGTCACTAGATATAAAAAATACCCACCCACACACGTCGTTATACGTGTTAATAAATAGTTAAGAAATTTCTCATAGATGGCGCTACGACAACAAGTCGTTGAGAACCAAAAACAAGTTAATAAAGATTTATTTAATATGATCACAATTTTATTGCTTTTATAATGTGTACGTGCCCTCATCACTGTGCTGTGCCCTTACAGGGTGTCACATGTACATTTTTAAGCCACTGTACTTAATATAATTTAAGTATGACAGTGCAATAAATGATTGAATAAATGAACAAAGATATGTAACGAGCACATAGGGAAAAAAGTGGATTAATTGGCAAAAGGTCTGGCAAAGCTTCTTTATGTGTTTTTTTTATTTATAAACAGTCTATAATACTAATTCTTATGAGTCATGATGAAGAATATATTCGTTCGAGAATCTTACCTTTTTTTCTTTTTTTTTTTGACGGGGTGGAAATCTTTATGGATACCCCTGAGCCCAGGGAGACTCAGGGGTTATGTGGGGACTCTCCCTCCACACTGGAAGGCCTACCCCACTAAAACCCCCCCGGGTTGCCCTCTCGCCGGTTGAGTCGGCGCCGTGGGATCAGTGAACATTCACCACGACGCCGCCCGGCCGCTTGCGCCAGGGCTCCCGCGCCAACGGAGGGACGAGTCGGTTGTCCTCCGACCCGCCCCCCAGACGAGTGAGGCCGTGCAATGCAGGCTCCGGAGTCCCTGTCCAGAGCCCGCTGGTCTCACTTGGGGATCAGGCGAGCAGCGAACTGCCTTCGCCTTCTCCCCGTACGTCTGCGCCGGAGCGGGTGCGCGTCCGCCGCGTCCTCGCGCACCCGCTCCGCGGCCTCCTTTTGCGACATAACCTCTGTGCAAAAGGAGGCCACCGCCTCCCATCGAGAATCTTACCTTGCCGTAACACAGTTTCGACTAGCACGGAAGGTAATGAACATTTTTGTCAATATACCGCCATGAGTCAATGAATGATTTGATTTATGTTATTCAAAAACAAGTACAAATATTACTATTAAACTGTTTTATTTTTTAAACCGTTATACATATAAATGATATTGTAAACATATGGATGGATATTATTAATATTATTTAAAATTAGCAGACATGGGCTCTAGGTCGCCATTATAATTTTATTTTCATTTGAATTACATCCATGTGCCAGGTTTTATTAAAATCGGTTAACGGAAAGTGGGTGAAATTTTGCCACCCTTAGAATCGGACTATTTTCATCAAATTTGAACGGGAACCCTACTGAGATACTCTCTTTCCAACAAGAAAAGAATCACCATAATCGCGAATAAACCTCCTCCTTTTTTGAAGTCGGTTAAAAGTTACTAGCTATTATTTGCTAGTAAAATCTGAGCAAAATCGTACAGAACAAGGTTATTAAAATCGTTTTAAAAAACATGTGAAACGGTAATCCGTAACCAGGTTCACGGCTGGACCAAAAAAAAAAAAGGTCCACAATTTATTTGAAGTCGGTTAAGGAGAAGAAAAGGTAAGAAAAGAAGGCTGTAACAATGAAAGGTATATAAAAAACAGGCACATTATTACAAAACATTCTCTAACTTGATGGAAGACGCTTACCCTAAAAAGGGCCGAGTTATACTGAATTACGGATACGTATTCATAGGTACATGATAAAGGCTGTAGTGGTTATAAACTTATTAAAATTGGCGCATGATTTAGATTAGTAATGATTATAAACTTAGTAAAGGAATCAAAATTGACTAGACTTTGATTGAATAGACGCGATTCAATTTTAACTGCTCCGTACGCTGTCGCGATCGAGCAGGGAGTAACTGTGGAGCGAAACAAAATCAGAATGCGAGGCAAAACAATAAATTTATGTACGAGTGGCCAGGAACTGCAAAAAGGCGACAAATAGGTGGGATGACGATGTAAGGAGGTCACACTGACACACATGGAATCTGTAGCCAATAATATATATCATTTAACAGAATTTACAAAAATGTGGGTAACGTACACGCTTATCAGGTTTCAAATTGTCAAGCCTACATTGTGTGCTTACGTGCTGACGGCTCATTAAACACTGGTTATTAGCACCATATTAAAGTCCGACCGACAATGAGAGAGCTCACATCGAGCGCTCGATCTTAGTGCCAATTTTAAATGGTCGTTCTTTCAATTTGTTCTCTAAACCAGTATAAGCAAAGCTACAAGCGGTTTTGCTGCGAACAAATGCTATTCCAGAATTCAAACTTTTGAACTCTGGAATAGCGGTCTTTTAGTTTTTTAAATAAAACAGCTGTAATATATGTAAATCATGTTATCTATTCTCATTCTAAGAAATTATTTACAATAATCAACAGAAAATCATAATAGAATTGTTCAACTCGCCTTTGGTTTCATTTTTGGCGGTTTGATTATGGAACCGATGCTTTTTCGTTTCATCATTGTAGTTTTCTTTTTGGCGGGAGTTTGGGTTGCCATTTTGGTTCCTTTCGATTTAGTCGTTTTTGAATCTTTGTTTGGTTTTACAGCCGTTTTCTTTTCCTGTTTCTTCGTTTTTTCTTTTGATTCTTTGTTTATTTTTACTTTCTTCGATTTAGTTTGGTCCTTATTGTCTTTTGTTACGGTTTTCTTTTCAATTTTCTTCTTATCCTCTTTTACCTTGCTCTTCTTTTCTTTATCTTTAATTTTCTCAACTTTGTCTGTCTTTTTAGATTTCTCCATTTTCTTAAGTTTCTTCTCGGGTTCAAGTTTTTTCTCTGCTTTCTTTTTCACTGCTGCTAATCTAAATGAACCTGTCGCGCCAATGCCTTTGGTCTGTACTATGGCTCCAGATTCGACGGCATTTTTCAAATATTTCTTTATATAAAAACTCATTTTGTCAGTGTCAACTTCGTACTTCTCAACCAAGTATTTTTTTATAGCTTGATATGACACGCCTTTGCGCGATTTCAATTCTCCTAAAGCGTCGTTAATCATTTCTCTTGTTGTTAATTTTCTAGGTTCTTTCAAAATGTCTGCCGTCGGACTTATGGGAATCTTTTGTTTTTTCCCCTTTTTCAAAGGTCTGGTTTTCATATCGATGTCCGAGTCTGAATTAGATCCTGTAGACATTGTAAATACTTTATCTTTTGCAAAGATAGACGAACAATTTTCATTTTATTTCGTCAAAGTAAACCGGAGCAATACGTTAACGAGAACCGCTATTGTATTTCATCCGCCAATAACGTGCGAGCTATTCAAAATTCGAACGAATAGATTTTGTTTGATAATTTTTGCTTGATTATTTAGTTACTACTTGAGATACTACTTTTTTAAATACAGTTCATGGCAATTATATTTTACATTATTAAAACTATGACAGTGTCATACACTCCATATGTAATTACTGTACTCGTTGGCATCGAGTATATAACCAGAAATAGAGACACAATAAGGGCCATCCATCCCTGACAACTCATCAGGCCAGTCTTATATCACTTTCAAATATTAACTCTCGTTTGCACTAAAATCACAAATTAGAAAGCTGAAATAGTACAGCGCCAACAAATGACCCGTGTGTACGTCTCCGTATATTCCAAAAATATTCTGTATGTATTGTAATAAAGATAATATCTCTAACTATGGAGTGCTGTTCCAGTCGGCGGGTGTGAAAAACAGCAAAACATCTAATTACAAACAAACACTTCATCGGTAATTAAATATTAAATATGTAATTTTTAACCATTATAGCAAAGCTCAAGTTAAACTGAAGTGTGAAGTGAAACAATTGACGACACCTGTCAGTTGTTTCGAATTCGGGCTGGCCAATCGGAACGCAGTTATCACAGTAATGATATGGCAGAATACTTTTCAAACAAATTAAATGACATTTCGTCTCTATTTCTGGTTATTTAATCGATGCTCGTTGGCAACGATGAAGAGTCGTTATCTGTAGCTTTACTGTCTGATGGAAGTACTCAGTCCTTACCAGGACCGCTTTTCATCTAGTAATAGGCACGCGTATAAAGTATTAACCTCCTTTTGTGCGGTGACCCAGTTAATCTTAAAACCTACGTTAGCCGTTTGCATTAAAAGCTGCAGTTATTAAATATAAGGAAAGGATTAACCACAGCACAGCCGGCACACGTGTTTAACTAGATAAACAAAGCAAACAAGCTTGAAAACCAACTGACTTATAGGTGACTTGGAATTAGTAGAGGCGAAGCTGCAGAGCCTTGAACACCGCCGTAAAGTTGCCTGCTTTACGGTATTCTACAGGATATATTACGGAGAGTTATGCGATGGATCCATATTTGACTCTACCTTTTCTTTTCCATCATCAGGGGACTAGACGTGGGGTGGGATTCCACCCCTATGTTGTGGATATTCCCAGGACTCGCTCAAAGCGTATCGCTTCCACTTCTATACGGCGAGTGGCTAGGGAGTAGAATTCCTACCTGCGGACTTATTCCCAGAATGCTATAACTTGGAGGCGAGAGTGAATGCATTATTTAGATGTGCATGCTACATCGTCGAACTCATCATTACTTTCCATTAAATGAGATGGAGGTGAAATGCGCACTTATTTTTAATAATACAAAAACAAACAAACTAAATAGCAAAATTATTAAGTACACATTTTTTAAAAGTCATTGATAAACATACCTACCATTTTCTTGACAGACATTTGAGCAATCAGAAGTAGAACATCGCAATGTTTTTTTTGGGAAGCACCCACCTTGTTTGAATTATGGAAACCAGTCCCTGCACTACGCTGTGAATACTATCACCAGAGTTACCACGGTCTTTTTGCGTGTATACAAAGCGGTCAACAACGGTCTCTGTGCTTGTTCTTTTCAACAAACAGGCTAAATTGTATTTTTATAATGAACAAAAGGTTTAAACACAAAGAAAGATAGGCAAAATGAGGTACTGGTTAAGATCTTCACTAGCAAATAAACCTGTTATGAGATTGATTCGAAGCCTTTCGACTTTGATTTTACGAAATATAAATATAAGTGCCTCTAAAGTCGATTTAAACGAGAAAAATAACTTTTTTTTAACCGTCCACTCATAGCCCGCACTGGAGAAACCCTGTATCGCGGGTGCCATGGACACATAGATAGACAACCACGAATTACACCCAAACTTAAGAAAGAAATAAATATAGGCCATACAAATGTCTCTCTCGGCCCGGGACTCGAACCCGGATCCTCTGCGTGACAGGCCAGCATGATAACCGTTCGGCCAAGGAAGCAATCGTCCATTTACATCTACTTACCTAGTTTTATTGAAATCAGTTGCCGGAAAATGCGCGAAACTGGGTACATCCGCTAGCTTGCCACTCCTAGAGGTGGAATATTTTTTTCGAATTTAAATGGAAGCAAGTACCCTCAGGAAGGAAGAGGTACCCTCTAATCGACTAATCGCGTAGCATATGCATACAAAAAACTACAGTCGAATTGAAAACCTTCTCCTCTTTTGAAGTCGCTTAAAAACTACTATAGTTTAATTGTGAGAGTACGATTATATTTGCAATTTGTTTCGTCCGTATGTTTGTATAAATGAAAGCCTAACTGTGAAGGTCAACCCGTGCAAAATAATCGCGCTTGTGTTGAATTTCTTTTCACACAGTTTTTTTAAATTAACTGCGTGAAAACAACAAAAGCAAAGAGCATAAAGCTGCATACTTTACGTCTTGTCGTCGAAACGCTCTTGCAACAATGTAGGTCCTCTGTTTGGTTGATTGTGTATTCAACAGTGATGTATGCCATTCAGTGCTTTTACGCGGCCCGGGGTCCTGCCGAATGCCGAGCAGAAGTAATCGGTCTGATCTGAACCACCGTAGAACAATATGACCGTTGCGGCGATTTGACGTAACGTATGCGCTACGCAGAGCTATTTTGCACGATTAAACCTTTACAGGATTCGCGGGGGAAATAGTTATTTTTGATACAATTGCGGAAAGTTAGTCATTATTCACGAGTCTCGAGGCTTCTCGAGACAAGTGAAAATGACAAATCCGCATGTGTATCAAACAACGTTTTTTAATACATTTGCGAAAAACCTACATTGAAAGTAAAATAATACAGTATTTAAAAAAACCTCATTTTATTCCTTTGTCAATAACAAAATCAAATCGTAAAAAAGTTAATGAAAAAGGCGGGAATGTAAACGATGAAAAAAATTAGTACTTTTTTTGGCCGACTTTTTTCAATATGGCAACTGTTGCCAGTATTCAGCCACATTAAAATTACTATTTTATATTACTTTATTTTCTACATAATCGCTACTAAGGAGTATTTACTACATAGGTGTAAAAATGCGGTCTCTCCATAGATATAGTATAGTAATGACGAATGACTTACGTCACAAAGCACATAAATATGAAATAAATATACAATCTCTTTAGTTCTATGTTTAAGACTTAAAACAACAGTAAATTAAAAAAAAACTGGAAAAGTAAAAAGCATTAGTGCGAGAAATCCAACTTTCCGCACGATTTGTAGTGCGAAAAATACTACGTTTTGAGCAACTGTATTAAAAAAATAATTTATTCCCATTTTTATTCAAATTTAAAAGGGAATCTAAAATAGATTTCTCATTAGAAACTGTGGTGCACCTTACTTTTTCTTTCGATGAAAAAAATAAACATAATGACACGTTCAACTAACGCAATGCAACGGGATTTGTCGTACATTACTTTTTTATTATATATTTTTTAATTATATTATTATTGACAACGATAACTAAGTTTATTATATAATATATAATATAATAATAATAACGCACACACTCAACATGGCCCCGCACTATGGAAACCCTGTGTTGCGGGTGCCATGGACACCCACAAATTACACCCAAACTCACGAGAGAAATAAATGTAGGCCATACAAATATTTCTCCCGACCCGGGAATCGAACCTGGGACCTCTGCGTGGCAGTCCGACATGGTAACCGTTCGGCCACGGAGGCAGTTAATACCTATTAAGTGTTTATTTTAACGACGTAATAGTGGTTTATGTAACTGTTACATAATGACAGGCTCGCCTGTCTTTTCATAAACCCTCACTCTATTTTAATGCCTAATTATTTACAGTTACATACACTGCTTTATCTACATATTATAAGCTCTCTAGTGATGTGTTCACGAACCGCATGTTACGACTGGCGAAATGGCGGCAAATTAAAACTTGTCTCACGCATGTCACACAACCGTAGTTTGTTTTTCATAACATTTCGGAACTATTATAAACATTGACGTATTTTAGTTTTAAAACAATAATAAAGCAGACGTCCCGCCTTTGAAGAAATAAAATAATTATCACGTTACCCTACACCGCCATGGGCGATGACATGGCGGGTTTTTGTAGGATACCCACGCGGCGGTAATGGCTCGCCCGGTGGAATCCCACTGAAAACTCTCCCGCCGGCACGTGGGATAATCACATAGACCCTTACAAGGTATGGAAATCTTATAGTTCGTATTATAATAACTTGTAGGTAATTTTAATATCCGCCATAGAAATGTACGTTTGAATTAGAATATATACTAAACATAAGCTAGACGCTATACATCTAGACTATAAACTGTTAGGTGTTAGTGTCACTTGTCGGGAGAACATAATTATTTAATGTTTCGATGTTTAATTGAGTAGTTTTAATGTAAAATAAAACTCAGTCGCTGATAATCTATCAGCATAATACTGAACAGTAAAACTCGATACTTGCAAAATTGTCCCTTGCTTTAAGAAGCCAAAAATACAAAGCAGGAAACCTCCTTCCTGCTTTTCGCAAAGTTGCGCCATCTAGCGAAAATGTAAAGAACTCTTTGCTGTCAGACCGCGCTGCGGCTCCCGATCAGAAATACTCAAGGCCTTAGAGGATGGAAAAAAAGTAAAACAAAAAGGCACGTGTAATTAAGTTTAAACCGGCACGTTTTCTCATTTTATGGTTTCGTTTTGTTATGTAATCGATCCCTTCCTAACGAATGTTGAAAATTTTCCAGAGCAATGTATTTTGATTCACGTCATCTTGAGCTTGTAACACGTGACCGTCTTGTTCTATCAATGAGTCATTCTTAATATAATTATTATAAAAAAGGCATGTAGATGTAATCTTACAATAATAACGCATAGAATGACAGTTTCATATCCAA